CGTCCCGCGTTGCCCCCCCCCCCCCCCTAGATACTGTGTTCTCCCTTCGATTTCCCACAAATCGCAAGAAAACTAAGTATTCTCAGAAAACCTTCTGGAGATCCCACAGAGATTCGTAGATGCTACCAATAGATTCTGCGTGCTGAATTACCTATAATCCCCAAGTTTCAGCCATCTACACCGATTCTCTCAAGAATATTAAGTTTTTGATTTCTCCGTGAGGATATACAAACATTTTGGTTTATGTCACCCTGAACGTCAAGGGAATTATTCCGAAATTTCTATTGTTGATGAACAAATATAAAAGTTCTGTAAACGTTACTAAAAAAGAGAAATAAACTAGATAGCTTCTAAGAATTAAATAGTTTTTACCTTTGGCTCACTATGAATGATGGGTTTTTGAGTGAGTTCTTGATTGTTCTTATTTATCGTTTAGACTTCTCAGATATTCCTTTGAACTTTACATCTAAAAAAATATTGTTAAACTTTTGAGTATGCGGTTATTATTATAAAACTTTCTGTCCATTCTCTATTCATCATGAAAGCTTAGTTCTTGCCTAGATCGATGGAGAAATGTGTGGAGAATATTTACTACGAGAAAATATGTAAAAATTTTTGTTCTTTTCTTCCGATTATTGGCTAATTAGTATTAATTAACGTTAATTTAGCCTACTCTACTAGCTTAAAGTCCCATTTGTAAAATAAGGACTCAACGAAAAATTTCAAGCAATATCTCATCTGATAGAGAATTTCACGAGTTACAAGATAGACCACCCTTAAGTCTGCTTTTATTCCATTAAAAATCTCAACATAGTCTTTGTTTCCAAAAAACATAGCAAGTTACTGAATTCACTACTGTTAACGCCCAAAAAAAAAGCAAGTATAAAAAACCAATTCTTTAGTGGAGAAAGAAACCAGGCCTACTCAGCAGCCAAAAGTAAATTCTAAAACTTCTAATGTAGCGTATCTTGTAGCTCGTGAAATTCTCTATCAGATGAGGTATTGCTTGAAATTTTTCGTTGAGCCCTTATTATACAAATGAGACTTTAAGCTGGTAGAGTAGGCTAAATTAACGTTAATTAGTACTAATTAGTCAATAACCGGAGGAAAAGAACAAAAATTTTGACATATTTTCTCGTCGCAAATATTCTCCACACATTTCTCTATCGATCTAGGCAAGGACCAAGCTTTTGTGATGAATGGAGGATGGACAGGAATTTTTTTAATAATAACCTCGTGCTCAAAAATTTAACAACGTTTTTTTAAATAATTAATTTTTTTCTCAGCCAAATAACGTCAGTAAGCCGAAAAAACTTTAGGACATATACTTCGAAGTGTCCTCTACAAACTGGGAACGCTAGAGAAAAATCTAAAGGGGGAGACCCCCCTTAAATATAAAAAATATATTCTAAAATACGACAAAACTCTCATTTTTTCGCCTTATAATTATACCTGCTCGTTACACCCCCACTGAATAAGACTGCATTGAGTAACACTTTCTGAATGCAAAAGATTTTCATTCACGATTGCCCATGACTCATCACCAGAATTTGAATAAGATGGTCGACGATCAAATTCGTTTTGGTACTGCCAAAAATGAACAAAATATTTTGATTAAGAAGTGATAGTGAACAAGAAAGTAACATGATTTTTTTGTTATGGATCGAGCAGACTAATCTCATTTGACTAAATCATGAACAAAGAGAGGAAATACATGTCACAATAGTACATCATTAAATCTGGGAAACCTTTGATTTCCATATCCTGAATATTAGCTTGTAAGTAAGTGATTCCCTAGTCGACTTTCCCTATAAAAACACCCGGGGAGTCACGACAGATGATGGAATCCTTGGGGAGTCTCAAAAAAAATCAAGCGAAAAACTGGAAATTCCTCGGGACTCCTCAATGGAGGCCTCCGTGGAGTTACGAGGGACTTCCAGTTTTTCGCTTGACTTCTTTGGGACTCCCCAAGGATCCCATCATCTGTCGTGACTCCCTAGGGACTTTTACAGGGAAAGTCGACCAGGGTTTATTATCTATTATTGAAATTGATCAAATTGTCTTTCACTTACTCGATTCTGCATTTCCTTCAATTGCTATGCTTACGTGTGCATACGTGCTTGTGATTTTAACAACGGTAAATATTTAATATTTTATCACCTTATATACGCTGATCAAACAAGCAAGTTTTGTGTCCAACCATACAGAAAGCTACAGGTTTCAGATATCTCTACTTCCTTTTCAAAAAGATGGAGTGCATAAAAACCTTTTGATTATGCAGACACAATGAGTGTGGTTAGTTTTTCCTTTTTGTCCTCCAGTATTAGAAGAGTACGAGAAAGAAATACGAATTTTCAAAGTAAAAATACAAATGATAAATTCAATGCGTCACTTCTTACCTTCAGCATTTTATTGAGTTGGAAAATTCAGTTTTCATTTGTAAAAGAAAGTTCATAATACTAATAAAACACTTGAAAAAAGAAAATTACAACTAAGTTAGTGATTCATTCCACCAGCAAAGAAAAGATGACTAATTGGTTGGGTTATTACCAAATAAAACAAAGAATCGTTTTTCATTTTCTTCTTATAAATGTGAGACCTTTCACAGTCTGTGGAAACAACTAGACATTCGCATTTTTCTCAAAATTACGTAACAATGTCTATTTGTAGAAATTAAGTCAAAAACGTATTAAAAACTTAAACATCAAATTAAACTCATCTATCGCGATTATCATATTCAGGCGTTGCAATTGGAATACAAGCATCACAGGCCAAATACAGCTCAAGTTTGCCTCTTTCATTCGAAAAGTTTACAATGATAATTTCTGATGACTGTTTCATTCATTTAGAAACAACAGATGAAGAATCTCTGTCATTGTAAATATCAACAAGAAACATCAGAGCAAGCATACAACTTACTTCGACAACAGATTGCGTATCATACCTCATCAGATCAATCATTCGAATGTTCACTGATATCCCATTGCGCCACGCTTGATTCAATACAAAACACCGACATGCGCCGCCAATTACTTCAACACTACAAAGATATTGCTGAACAATCAAGACTGAAACTGTTCAGCTTTATCTAAAGACCGCCAAAGAAGAGAGGAATACATGCAGAAAAAAATACGATACGGCAGAGAAGAAAATGTGGATGGATCGTCGTCTGGCCTCGAACGATGAAAAAATATTCCGATCATCCTTAATCTGATTGAACAACGTTGCAAAAAAATAAGTGATCGTATTAAATGTATTTAGTCTTGGAGATGCGCATTCTTTGTAAATTCTTACTGGAAAATTGCGATCATCTTGAACATTTTATCACACCCGTGGCTTACACGCCCTTGAACGAGGATCAGAAGGCGATCGAATTGAAAAATCAACGTTACAAAATCATTCGAGAAGCCAAACGCACTTGGTTAAATCATGTTTTGCATGCTTATGAAAGTGAAATACAAGAATATGAGCAACAATACCAAAAGGAATTCAGACACTTGGAAGCACCTTTATCGAATCCTGCCAAGACGGACAATATATCTACTTTACATTCAGTCAAAGATTTTTTAGTTGAACAGACGAATCAATTGAGAGGAAGCATGTGCGATGAAGTGTCGTCATCTCGAATCATTCTGCTTCACAACCGTCAACGTGCATCATCATCGAAAGATACGATCGACGTATCACCGGAATCTTATCTCGATCTCATTTCCAATCCATCTGATCAACGAGAGTGGAATTATCTGTGCTTGGGTAAGAGATTCTCTTGGTCGATAATGCGAATATGTGTTCTCTCGTCTCTGTTGTTTATATTGTTTAGGATCATCTTGTATACGATTGAATCAAAGTGCTGCTCGTCCACGAGTTCAACAAGAGGCTGCAACCAAAAAAGAACATCAAGAAATCTTTGATAAAGTTCAACCCCACAAAGTAAGTAGCAACGATTCCTTATTTACTTGAAGGTGGCAGTGGTATTCTATTCTTGACTCATAGGATGGTATACCAGGTCGTCCCATCTTATTTGTCTTATTTGTGTTTTTGTCTATGGTAAAAAAATCAACAAACAAACGACTGGTGGTGCCATGGGATCGTCATTTGCTTTAACCTGGGCTAATATTTTCATGTGGAAATGGCAAAAGGAACTCGTTCGTCTACAAGATATGACAGGCAAATTCTTTGGTCGGTAAGTACAGGGAAGAAAATAAGATAATCCATAGCAATCATCGTTTTCTTCAATAATCATATAGAAATATCGATGATGATTGTATGACGTAAAACAAATCTGAACAGGAATTACGGAAACTATTAGATGAATCCAATACATGGCATCCTAATATCAAGTTAGATTATCAAATTGGAAAAAGTCTTCCATTCCTGGATGTTTTCCTAACAAATCAAAATGGGATATTGTCGACCTCGATTTATCATAAGCCAAGTGCTGAACCTTACGTTGTACCATTTATATCTGATCATCCTCGACAGTCACTTGCCGAGAATCTGTGATTCTTGACAAGTTTCTTTTTATGGAGAACTATCAGAGATCAGCGTGCAGATCATTCTCGTATGTTTTAATATCCGCAGTATAACACAGATTCTTAGCAAGTTTCTTTTTATGGAGAACTATCAGAGATCGAAATAGACTTTCAAACAGTATTGTAATAACTGATGGAACAGAAGCAACCGGTACTTTCCATATTTTATTCAATAGATTTACTATGTAATTCTCTACAAAATAATACATCAAATGTTTCGTTTAAACATACAACGGTTGAAAATTAGACGAAAAGTTTTGTGAAACTAGAAAAAAGGTAGAAATTTCCAAAACACTTTTCAGTATTACTTGCTGCTACTTTGAGGTATGAAAAAACCGACATAACCATGTTAAGGCTCTTGAAAACCTTCACCTTTAGCTGTACAATTGTTGTGGATTCTAGTTTCTATTAAAGTTTCAATTTCACTACGAACGTTCGTGTATGTTTTATTTTTATCTACTCGAAATATCTACATGACTTATCGCGTGTTTATCCTTGATGTTATGAAAACACATTGCTTTTCTGGTTACATGCATTCGCATATATTTTACTGTGTTTTTTTCTTTTTTCTTTCGGCCATGAGGACGGTTGGAGAGAAAAACTATGATAGGCAAACGTAATAAAAGCGTTAAGAAAAAAAGTCTGTAGCTAGCATGATATAGCAAAATATATGTATACGCATCTATAATTGTACTGTCAAGGATAAACAATACAGCATAAAGTTTTTGTTTAAACAGTTATAAGAGGTAAAACAGAAAAGTCGACTAATACTGTTCTTCAATGGTAAACATAATTGTATTTGGCGCTAGTGGTTTTATTGGAAAAGCTATTGTGAACACAGCGCTTGATAAGGGTCATCGTGTAACGGCTGTTCTTAGGAATATAGAAAATTATCCAATAAAACATGACAACTTAAAAGTAGTTCAAGTGAGTTAAGACATTATTTCACTTCTTTTTTGTACAATATTAAAATATTGTTCTTGTTTAGGGCGATATTTTAGATAGCTCATCTGTTGAAAATGTTCTGAAAGGTGATATAACACATGTTTTGTCCTCTATTGGTGGGCCAGTAGCTAATATTCCTCCCGAAACAAATGTACGTGTTAAAGGTATTCAAAATATCATTAGTGGAATGAAAAATAATGGAATCAAACGTATACTTGCAGTTGGTGGTGCGGGTTTATTACCTGGCAATGAGAAAAACTTTTTCTTTGAGCAATCAGACTTTCCACAAGGTATTGTGCCCGTTTCAAAGGTACACAAGTTGGTTTATGAGGCACTTGTCGCAAGTAAACTAGATTACACGTTTATTTGCCCACCAAGTATTTCAGACGGACAAATTGGTACATATGAAATTAGTGTTAATACTCGCGTTGGCCACTATGCAGTTACCGTAGGAGATTTAGCCGATTTTATTGTTAAAGAAGCAGTTGAACAAAAACATGTTGAACAACGCGTGGGTGTTTTCAATACAAAATAGACACTCTTTGGCGAGTTATACAGCAATTGATAATCATCTCTATTTAACTATATCGTAATATCAGTTTGTCATTTTTTCTTTCATAGTTATTGATTGCTAATTGTCTTATACCTACGGAAATTTAACTGAGTTAATTCTGGCATATTTGTCATAGCAGACTAGTGTGTATTATATTTGTTCTAAGTAAAAGATATATCTTAATTAAGACAGTGCGAAAAAGAGGTGAACTTTAGAAAAATAGCTTCTGCTGTGTCGTCGTTTGTATTTGTTGATATAAAGTTAGGGTATCTAGGATAATTATTATAACGTGGTTATTAAGAATCGCTCAAACTTGCAGCACGTCTTATTTTGTAGACAAATGTTTGTTCTATGTATTTATTGAAATAGAAAAAGCTTAAAGGTAATTGTCCCAAAAATATGAGCATTCTTAAATGCTATAGCTGTATGTGCTAACTTGTCACTACTTACATAATTTTTGTAGTCAGTAATTCGTTAAAAATGCTTCTCTCTTTTAATCTTGAATTTTATCTTCCCTTAACATTAAATCGATTTAGAGAAAACACTAATCGTTTCACGAAAGCAGCATCCATATTTTATTTAATTAAAATTAAATTAAATTAACATAAAATTACTCGACGTTTCGACTACCTAACTGAACAGAACGAGACAGAATTTTCTTCTTCATTCTTTTCATTTCTCCTAGAAGAAAATAGTTGTTCTCGGCTGTACTGTTCATTATTAGTAATCATTCGTTATTTGTTCTGCCACCTCCTGGATCAAAATCATTTTTACTAGTCTTTGATAAACCATTTGGAAATACAATTAATGATACCGATCTAACCGTATCATTTAGATTGGGCTTAAATGCCGAAATAAAGTAGTACAGCCGAGAACAACTATCTTCTTCTAGGAGAAACGAAAAGAATGAAGAAGAAAATTCTTTCTCGTTCTGTTCAGTTAGTACGAGTGCTATATATACACACAGAGATGTGCGCCGCCGCGCCGGTTCGCTGATTCGCCGCCGCCGCCGAAGGCGGAAGAAATTTTCAAAGTCTCACGTCGCCGCCACCGAAGGCAGAGAAAAATTATTGTGACTTCCGCCGCCGCCGCCGCCATGCGGTTAAACTTTTGTCGTCGCCGAGGGCGGAAATGTTTTTTTAAATCGGACACTTTTGGTCGTTGTTTTTGAGGCACCGTTCAGCGGTCCAAAGAGTTCGTCCTAAGCTTAATCAGTAGAAAATCGACTTCTCTCCAAAACTGTCTATTTGAATCTCTAATAGCATTTTTTTTATTTGAATACCATTCAAAATATTAAAGGGTGCTGAGTTGTCAAACTTCTTTCAACAAATCTCTTATATTCGTATTTTTCATCATCCCTAGTATGTACATGTGAAAGTTCTTTGTTTTTCATTTAGGTATGTATTTTTTTCGTTTCTTATTTTTTTGCATAAAGGATAGATATTTTCAGTCAAGTTTGTTTTTAACTTGAAGTTGTAGCAACACCATTGGGGACATTTTATATCACAGTTTGGAGATGTCATTATTATGTCATCTTTTTTCATTATATATTTTCTTTTCCTTTCTACATATTCATATTAAAGTATTCACTTTAATCACATTGTTTTGTACTTGACCCATGCGGAAGATATAAGATTAGCCAGACGTGCGCGATTACAATTACAAAATGTAAAGTTCAAACATTGCTATTATCTGTAGAATTAAGAATTCTAGAATTATGAACTTTACATGTATGTAAAGTTGAACTTTACTTGTTCAGAATTTTCTAAAATTCTGAATTCTAGGGGTGAATGTGGGGGTGCGGGTGAATAAGCAACTTTACATGTATGTAAAGTTCATAATTCTAGAATTCTTAATCCTACAGATAATAGCAATGTATGAACTTTACATTTTGTAATTGTAATCCCGCAGCCCTCAGATTAGCAGATCGATCCTAATCAGCTTCGCTAACGCTGATCCAAGCGGTCAAGAAATCTGACAGTTAGTTTTTATTTTTCACTCTATCGGTGGGTTTGTTCGTTTAGTTACTTCGATTCTTTGTGTTTATTATGATAAAATTTTTAGATGTCTCAGCATACATTTAAAGATATAGAAATTAAAATCGTGCCGAGGCAATCGTTTGTCTGGAAATATTTTGGTAATTTACATGCAATTTTAGCGAAAGTAACAATCAATCCGGATTGTTATTATTGTAAAATATGTTTCCGTGAAGCTAAAGCCAAGGATGACACACAAACAATGACAGACTTTGAGACAAAAGTTACAAAATACAAGAAAGGTATTTCGACAACCAATCATGCTAATCATTTGGCAAGTAAACATGATGTGATTGAAAAAGAAGTTATCCAAGAAACATGACTATAATATAGGCATGTTACATAAGATATTACCAGAAAAAATCCAGCTCTTCAGCGTCCTTTAAAAAAAGTTGTCATGTATAGTGAAGGTGAAAATCCCCGGTTTTCTAGAAAATATATTTGTGGTACTCATTTTCTGCTAGAGTATCGAAGAGCATGGTTTTAAACGTTTAAATGTTCGGTCTCGCTGAAATCTACTCAGCAGTTTGATATACCAGTACGCACAACGCTATCAAGAACACATTTAAATAATGTTTATGCAGCATATCATGAAAAGTTGTTGAATGTTTACGTGCAGCACCAGTGTATTTATCAATGACTGCTGATATATGGTCGGATAAATATAAACATATCGGTTATATTTGTTTTACCACACATTTTATTGACGAGTATTTTCGACTTCATCGTTATAATCTATGTACAACACAGTTTGATAACCCACACACTGGTGATCACATTCATACTCGTTTACGTGAAATCGTAGTAGAGTACGGTGTCTCAAATGCAACAGTGATTATGGTAGAATAAATTTGCTCCCTATTTTTCGCATCAATTCATGTTTTCCTTTTTTGTCTAGATTTCAGATCGTGGGTCAAATATGCTATGAGCGTGGAGAAAGGCAAAGATAATACATTACCCATGAACATGGGCTACATAATTTTTTGATGAAAGACGGATTGCCAAAAGTGAATGAAATTGATTTATTATTGAAAAAAGTTCAACAAGGAATTGATAAGTTAAGGTATAGAACAGTTGAATTGGAAGATGAACATTTAAAATCAAATAATGATATGAATAATGCATTAACGGAGATAATTCAAGAAGTATCGAGGTATATTGATGATGATAATTTAACACCAGTGGTATTTCAGGATGACTGGAAAGATTTGGGTGATGATTTATATGATTTTATCGAGTTACATGATGATCCATCAACTCCTTCAGCATGCTACACGTCCGCAACATCAACAACAATTAACAAACCATTTCAGACATTGAAAAAAAGAGTTCCCACACGATGGAATACAATCCTGTTTATTTTGAAGTCTGTTGTTCGTTCATTACTTAGGTGGTTGGTATACTGCTTGAACTACTGTCTGTCAAAAAAAGCAATATGAGTGCCCATGGTTTTGAATATCTTTTCATTGACAATAGTTAGAACGACGAGCTTTACGCTATTCGAAAGTCAGCTTCGAATGTGAGAAATTTTTTTACAGTATATTCAATAAGTATTGTCCGTAAAAAAGACAGTGCACTTGGTCATTTTTTGAATAACTTTTGATAAAAGCTAGATAGAGACCTGCGGTTTGCAGTTTTGAAAACGAGACACCTAACCACATATTCAAAGCATTTTCAAAATTGCAAACCGCAGGTCTCTATCTAGCTTCTATCAAAAGTTATTCAAAAAATGACCAAGTGCACTGTCTTTTTTACAGACAGTAGGCACCAGTATCTGATGGCAATAGGGACTTTAGTGCTGTTTTAGCTAAAGGTCTATAGTGGCACAAAGGTGTACGAATGTGTCACGTCTATGACGCTGGAGTTGCTCATATCTTTATATCTTTTTTGTGCAAACAGTAATCTTTCTATCTTCAGTTTTTTTCCTATCATGTTTTCTAGAAGTTATATTCATAATATAAATGGTATTAGAGCAATATTGAATCGATTAGGTTTATTTAATCTAGTTCTCGATTATGAACATATAGCTATTGCCGAAGAATTAATTAAGTTTTTAGCAGCATTTGAGACTGCGACAACGGTACTACAAGCATCAAAATCCTACCCAACGGTGCATTTGGTTTTGTTATTTCGAAAAAGTATACAAGAAGCATTGGTTATTCAATTAAACGATCGAGAAGCAATTGTTAATTTAAAAACAATAATGAAACAGTCATTTGATACACGCTTTCCCATACTTGATATATATTTACCAGCATCGTTGTTAGATCCTTCTCAACATGCTTTCGATACAGATGAATATTTTAAAAATTTATCAATGAACAAAACAGAATTACTTTGCTCAATGGTAAAAAAATTTAATATAACACAAGGTGATGAACCAGGAACGTCAATGATATCAACAACAAGTATAATAAATACACAGTCAGTAATACTCAGTCCAACAAGTCCAACATCAACAATGGAAGCTACTCAATCACCAAACAGTAGTAAACGATCTGCATCAAATAGTATTGAGTCAAATGAGACGCAAGTTAAATTAAAAAAACTTAAACAAGATCTTCTTATAAAATTTTCAAAACAGTTACAATCAAAAGATAAGAAACTGGAAAATGAAATTGAACGATATTTAGCATTAAATGTGGAAACAAATGATGTTTTACAGTGGTGGAACGCATCAAAACTATCCTACCCTTGTTTATCAAAATTAGCAAAAGCTATATTAAGTATACCATCGACGTCGCTCCATCAAAAGAAGTTTTCTTTACAACGGGACTTATACTGACGGCTAAACGTGTACGATTGACTAGTGACAAAGTGGGCAAGATGCAGTTCATCCATGATAACTATGGTTTATTCAAAAGTGCTCATTAGGCAGTGCTGAAGGCGGAGGAAATTTTCATAGCCTCGCGCCGCCGCCTATGTAAAAAATTTCATTCGCCGCCGCCAAAAATTTTTTGTCGACGCACATGTCTGTATACACATGCTTTTTCTTATTCTATTTCACTTAATTTTCTTGTACAGTATGCTCTCTTGAAAATGACTGTATGGACAGTCGAAACGTCGAGTAATTTTATGTTAATTTAATTTAATTTTAATTAAATAAAATATGGATGCTGCTTTCGTGAATCGATTAGTGTTTATCTTCCTTACAAACACATAGAAAAAATTAATTAAAGTCGCGTTTTCACCCTAAGGAAAAAGCTTTTCAAATTATATTTTACCAAAATGTAGCTCGCGCTCTGTACTATCTACTGATGTAGTTTTCATATTAAATGCATACTTATACAACGTAAAAAAAGCTTTTTATCACCTGTATGGAAAACTTTTGCCGATCGGAAAACGCCAGTTTCTGGTCCTAATGGGTCTACAAAGAGCAATAATGAATATTTCTAACTTTTTTTTGCGAAAAAAACATAGTGCATGGAAATGTTCCTGGGAATGCTCGTACATGATTCCAATGTAAAAGATCCGAAAATTTTGCGGGTAAGAAAACGGCCTGGGCAAGTCTCCTCTTTTGCGTTGAAAACGTTAATAAAATAAATAATTCGCTTCATGTGGTGGTACCCCTTAAGTGTTCGAAAATTTATTTGCTGCTCGCTTTATTTTGTGCTGCGCCCATTGCCTTAACTGATTGTATTATTTTGCAATAAAACAAAACAGATCAAGAGAAATGTGATTTTGCGTGTATAAAGAGGGAAAAATAAAACGTTTATGTGGCAAGAGTGGCAGTGGAGTTGTCAGTAATGTGACGATACACGTCGTGGGAAGATGTATCTGTATGAAACCTTAAAAACTTCAATCTTTTTGATTTAAGTTGATGCATCCGATTCCATCACGTTGCAACATGTCAGAATGTAGTTTTCTGTCACTTTTCTCACGTTCTAATGCGTTCGACTATTCGCACACGTTCCAACGTACGTTTCTAGTTTTCAAAGTTAGCGAATGTGCAAATGAACGTGTTTACACACGTTGTGGAGATATCTAACTCGTTCCAACAAGTTGTTTAACATTTTTTGAACACGCTCTAACTGATTTATTATTTTCTTCCAAACGCGTCGGAACTTTCGTTTGAATAATAAAATTATCTCATGGGAGATTCACAGTATTATAATGCTGTCACTATAGTGGTTAGCGAACATTTTGTGTCATAGAAAACCCTCAGAAACGGCAGAGATCCTATCGTGAGAGAGCCTGCTTTCCATCTCTATAGCTTTCAATAGTCGAATTGAACATTAAAAGTAAAAAGAGCTTCGGCTCAAATTCCGAGTGGTTTCGATGGATGGAATCAAGGAAGACACGACTGATTGCACTCAAAGTAGACAACGGCAATGAATGGATAATCAGTTGGGAATCAAGTGACAATCAATGGCAAGGATGTAGCAATCAGTCGGCAATCAAGAAATCAGCTCTTTTCCCCTGGGTCCGATTGAATTCTTCGTTGCCTAACCTTGAATCAAACCGCGGCAAAAATTCGGAGTTTCGAGTCTTCGAAAAAGGTCGAGCGGTCGAAAGTAAGAGTCCGATGAATCCACTTCCGCGAAATAATCAAAAATCCGAGTGGGTTCCGAGTGCTCACTACTGGATCGACGAGTAGGGATTCGATGAGGTCAAAATTTGCGAGAGGTCGATGTTGGAAATTTGGAGCGGTGCGATCTTGGGCAGAATGAATAAATTTACGATTAAAAAAATTTTCGAGCCCTCGGTACACTTTTTAGGTTGGCTTGCAGAGTGAATATTTCCATACAAATGACTGACGTGAGATAGAAGTTGTTCAGAATCATCGTTTTCAGAGACACCTTCCTCAAGTAAAACGATATGATGACAAAAAAATCTGTTCATGTCATCAACATTCCGTCTCTGTATACCATTTCCCCCGCGCGCACACATAAAAGCTGCGAGGCGTGTACCTCTATTTTCGCTCTGTTTCAACACTCTTGACGACGTGTTGTTAATGCTACACACACGCTCTTCGTCAAACTCAAATAATATTGAAGAAAACAAAGAAAGAAGAGAAAACAAATAAAAGAGAGCGTGTACACATATGAATGTAGACATATGTTTTGACTGCGTAGATTTCATCAGAACGGCAAACGGGTAATCGAAAACAGGGGCTACCGTCGAACAATTTTTTCTAGACAAGTGTAACTATCAATCGTGAATAGAATCTTAAAGACGTTTCTGCTATTCGAGCGGAGAAGTCATTCCACAAACAATAATGAATCTTGACAAGTTCGACCATTCTTTGTGCAAAAGTGCGCCTACAACTAAAAGGCGGTGAGAGACAATACTGTCAGCGTTACTGTTCGATAGATCCTTTTGCACAACTTCGAGGAAACTTGACGTTGTAAAAACGTTTAAAGATGGTGCAAAGTACGGCTCGGACCTTTTCAAACCATATTTTTCACATTTTTTAAACATTGGTGACTTCGAGTTATTGCGTTCTATTATATTTCGTACTATTCGAATTGTACACGGTGAAAAAAAACCGTAAGAAAAACCCTAAAATCCATAAGCATCGAAAAAAACCGTGTAAAAGAACCATGAAGGAAAAAACTGTATTATGAAAACCGTAAAATGCAAAAGTATAAAAGAAAAACTATGGAAGTAAAATCGTAAAGGTTAAAACCAAAGAAACAAAACCGTCCACTTTCGAACCGTCGAAGAAAAACCGTAAAATAAAACCGTCAGTTTAAGAACTGTATAATTAAAACCATGGAAAAATATCGTAAAGGTCAAAACTGTAGAAATAAAATCATGAACTGACAGTTTGTCAAAGGAAAACAATGAAAACAAAAGCGTGACGAGGAAAACCGTGAAAGCGTTCTCGTGCTTTTTATTTGAAGATTTTGTCGACGCTTCAAAATTCATTAAAATATGTGCAGTTTCAGTCGTTAGCACGTCAAAAAGTCTTTCTAATCAACTAACATAAGTTTAATAGAACGATCTTGAGCTTCTCGTCAAATCTATCTCACAGTCAGGGTTATTCAGTAAAGAGCATAGCGCCTGGTATATAAGTGAGTAAAACTGGCACTTGTGAGAGGGAGAAGGGGAAGACACCTTCCAGCGCATGTTTCTGCAAAATATGCCTGTTTTATGAACTTTTTCCTTTTTACAAATTCTTTTCTTTGAAACTGAGATTATCTGGAAATTGTCCTGATGCCTATAGCCTTAGAAGGTAGAGAGAAAGGTATAGTGAATATCTTCTCTTAGCCATAAGTTTCTAGACATTCGTCATAGAATACACTTGATGGTATCATATGATATATGTGCACACTTATACAGTTAGCGTTTATCTTTTACATCTCAAATAAAGGTACGACAGCGAGGAGCTTTACAAATTCAACAGCGACAGCTTTTCGTAAGATGCTGAAGTTTTTACAGAAATCTACCCGAGAACATAATGAGTATGCAGTGCGAAGACACACTTCTGTAAGTTCCTCAGTTCAGTGGTTTGCGTCTTGGTCTCATACTTCATACTCGCCAAGCGTCTCAGGTTCGATTCCTGGAGGAGCTGTTCTTTTTTTCTTTCCTTTTCAACGGACGATTTTACTTGCACAGTTTTACCTGGGTGATTTTTCTAATAGTTTTAAAACCGTCAAAGCAAAACTGTCATATAGGAACCACAGGAAAGAAAGCATGAACAACTAAAACCGTGAAAAAAAACCATGCCAAACTGACTACCAGAAACCGCGTATAAAAACCACCATGAGTTTCACGGTTTTTTTTCTCCGTGTACTATTTTGTATTTATATATCAACTTTTTGAGCTTTGACTCTCAACTGAAGGGGATAAAGCGTATTGCAAGTGCGAAAAAATACGGAAAAAGGCGAAGAAATGCAGAAAATCGAGCAGTTCTTGTAGTCAGTCTGACCCCAGAAATTCGAGGAGTGAATTGTTTTTCTCTACCGAAATAATTGTTAGTTACCGTCGTCAAGGGGATGAAGAGCAGCATCCCCTTTATCAGACATTCAAATTTGGACACACTCGAAGATACCTAACCTTTCTCGGATGACTCTCTTAAGATTGTTATTTGATACATAAATACCGACGTTTAGAATGTTGAGAGAGAAGAAAGCGGTATCTGTTCATGACAAGCTCGATGTCTCTACTTCAGCTTGATGTCAAAGTGCTTCAGCACCTTTTCTTCGATTTTCCAGATACCTTTGAAGCCAGGTTCAACGACAAATGCATCGCCGGGCGCGAGTTGCACCGCTTCGCCGCTGCCATCCGGAGTGATGGTGAGCCGTCCTTCAATCACATGGACAAATTCGTAGCTGGTGTAGGTAGCGTGATAACTGCCCGGCGTCGCCATCCACGTGCCGGAGATCATTGAGCCGTCGGCGGAGGTGTACTGGATCCAGGTTTTCATCGTTGGTGACCCTTCGACAACTTTCCAGCCCTCCAAATCGGACGTTATCGGATTATTGCCCGGTGCGCCCAATTTAACGATAGTTGCATGTGCCATCTTGATCGAAGTGACTTTGTCTCCCTACTTTATATCTAAAAAAATTTAATCGGTAGTTTGAAAAGTGGTTGTGTTTGAAACCAAATGAAGATGAAGGGGAATAGAGAGCATGAGGAACGAAAAAGAACCAATGCTCGCACGAGAAATCGCACCTTTTATCAAACTTGCTGTGACATACAGAAGTACGTCTGCGAGATTTTCATGCAACTCTTAAAGCTGGCCGGGAGTTCCCTTCTAAAATCGGTTTCTGTGGTATAAATGATACTCAACTATCTGAATACCTCTTTACCACCAAAAGATTTCACATGATGTCTGCATTACTGCCTTTCTAAATAACGTTTTCAGTTCTAACCAAGTCCACAACTTAGAGCACGTCGTTACTAGGGGTCCATTGGTCATATGTTCCATGACAAGAATCCGATTCACCGCCCAGAGACTATTGCCTACTCCATTACATCCGGCACACAGATGGTGTGATAGAATTTAGTGCTCATTCAATTTGTTTAGTCCTAAACGACCGCCTTTAGTGGTGCGCGCTGGAGGTCCACTGGAGATGTTTACACAACTAGCAGCGTTTTTTTCGCTATAATCGACTCTATCAAACTGTACGGTGTAAAATTGTAAGAAGTTTTAATGTGACCTTGAAAATAGTTGGCAAAGCGTGAATTATGTTTTTGGTTACCCCTCACTGAACTGGATTTGGAGGTGCTCAAGAACCAAGCAGTTAATAAACGACTCCACCAGGGAAGAGTAGAATTCATCTTCATAAAAGAAATGCGAAGAGAATATTGCAGTTACACTGCCCTTATCAGCAACATCGAGAGATAAGGGTTGGAACCAAGAAGAGGGTGTGAGAGCAAACGCACGCCGCTGCTCGTTTTTTGACGGACAAAAGTAATTACGCTTTTCGTCACAAAATCCTTCAAAATTACACTTGTATTTCGTGATTTTCTCGTTTCGAATATAATCAAATGACAAAACAAAGTAGGTATTCGGAATCAAGAGGAAAATTACATCGAATATGTATAGTGATATTGAAAAAGATTGAGCTTTCTTTGAGAAAATATGTTTATTTTTCTACATTTCAGTACTTCTCATAGTTGCTCGTAGCATTTTGCAATAAAACAGTCAGTACATTTTCTGATGAAAATGAACTGGCTTTTCACACATTTCGCACCTACCTTCAAGAATTCTGGATTTGTCTCGTAAAGTTGAAATGGCACCTTGTTGATGATGTATGTAGCTCTATAAGTTGGTGTCTCTATTTATACGTGAAATTTGCTTCATCATTTTTCGCGATAATGAGTTTTCATTTGTCATCTTCAAAACTTAACTCTTACCGCTTTTGTTGACATTGTTCTGATGAGAAGAAAGATAAGAGCAGCAAAATTCTATCTCAAGCATATAACAACTGTGTAAATACATGCAATAGTCGCACAGTGAAGAACTACGTGGACATTTGGAGTAAAAGGTGAGATTGTGAAGGTGAGATTTTTCAAGGTTCGATTAGTGCCCTGTATACTTCATTCGACGGCCAATTTAATGTTGAAAAAATTTTGGTGCTAGTGATGGATCTTTTTCAGTAAATTTTGATGAATAATTGTGACGGACGATCCCGTATCGACGATCGCACGTTGCAGTAGGTTATTGACTTTCACACTGATGTAAATCGGGGAAGAGATCGTCGACGGTGTTGATAATTTTGATAATGATGGCGTTTTATTTTTTCCGGGACCATCTTCTGATCCCGCTATTCGAAAACCTGCGGACACGTCCGAACATTCTGGTCGGATTGTCCGCATTTGAAACAGCCTGTCGATTTTTGATGGAAACAATCAACTGTATGATGACTAGAACGACTGCAAATTAAACATGGCGTACGATAAGATGAATTTTGAGTAGATGTTATCTGTTGCTGATGAGAGTTCGACTGCGATTTGTGACGTTGACGGTTGTAAACGTTGTGATTGAAATGAAGTTGGCTAAGTCGATGAAATTTTCTTCTAATTTTAATGAACGAAAGACCGTTCAAAAACAGCAGTATTCATATTCTCTACAGCTCATGGTTCTGAACAATTGTGCCGTTTAACATAGTATCCAAATCTGTTTCTGAAAGACAGCAGAAGCTGTTTTCTGTCTATCCTATGCGATTTGTACGAAGTGTCCATAATTACCCAAGCAAGAATAATAGAAAAAAAGACTGTGTTCGTTTAATTTCGCAATTTCTAATTGATCAATCAAGGATGTGTCCAAAGGATTAGCAATTTACAAGGTAGATAGAGCTCAAAATTCTCTACAAGATGATATAATTTTAACCAGAAAGGTGTGAAAATTATGTGAAAATTCGAGAGGCTGTCCAGAATTACCCAACTTAATCTACCTGATTAAAGCTAAATATTGTCTGCAGTATTCCATGAAAATTCGTTATTAAATAACTAAATAAACAATTATCTCAGGTAATGTGAAAATGCTTACTTTGCTTGCTTTTGTTTGTTGATAGCATAAATATATGTAAACTTCTCAGTCCCCGGCCTTACCCACTTTGCAACATCTCACCCACGCAGACTTAGCTTAAAAACAAACCCTGAGGAAGTAAGCGGAGCCCGGTTCTAAAATACCCTTTCTCGTGAATATTAGTGCAGATGGTTTCATGCATCAAAGAGAAGCTGTTGTATTTTAAGGCTATCTTTCCCTACGCTGCCGTAACATAGAGTGATCGAGACTATCGGTAAAAGCCCTTTCAGCTCTGGGATAAGTTAGCTGGAATAGCGACTGTCCGAGAAAAGCCTCTCCTCCTTAGATTTACTGCTTATCCATCACAGCATCACTTTTCTTTTACATATACCTTTTGTGTGACCTCTGCCTCCTCACAGCCTGAAGAGGAGCGTACCGAAACTTCGAAACTTAGGTAACGTCCTTCAATTGCTAGGCCTAAGACTAACCGCTTTTGATGTAGACCAGGTGACGGCGAGCAGATACAGTTCCAGTTAATGAACAAATTTTCGTTAGATATACGATTATCACCATGCGGCCCCATTCCAAGTTAAGGCGTAAAACAGCTGTTTAATACAAGATAGGAAGTTATAATACTGTCCACAATATTTCTTTTTTATCTTACTGTTTCGACAGTATGATGCACAATAGCTAGAACGGCCTTGAAAATTGACCACAACCGTTGCCGAGCATAGATAATTGCTCATTTTTTTTTATTCAATTTTTCACGCATCAATCATTCCAAATCAAAAGAAACTAAAGTAGTTATCAAAAAGTAACTAAAAGTAGTTACCAGTTATTTGGTAACCAATAACTTGACTGTCACTACCTTCTTGAGAGTCTAACGGTAGTATAATATCCATATATGTTTCAAAACGTATCTAGGTAGTTGTTACAACAGGTCTGATCAAAGGACAGCGGCGTTCGGCTCATGCTTGAATTGCATCAGCTAATCAAAGGCTAGATGTAGAATGAAGAGGGAAATATTTCTAGGTAGTTACTAGACCATATACTCACTCAGAAAAAAATTGGTCGAATCAAATCTGATGAGTTTCTACTACATTTGATATATATATTATAGATCTTTAATTTTATTTAAATTTATTAAGTTTGCTTACAATTCGTAATGAATAATATTATAAATTATATTATAATATTATTAATTACGAATTGTAAGCAAACTTAATAAAGGACCCTGCCGGATTTCAAAAATGACAAGAAACCAATAAACCGAGTATATGGTTTTGTAATTTAGTCTAGAATTTTAGTCTTTTCGTTTTTGTTTAGTTCTTTAGATTTAATGAGAGAAAGTGAAAATATTAAGTTTTAGTCAATTTTGACATCGTCTAAGTATATACGTATTTCTCCTTACGATAGCTATTAAGAAGTAAGCTTTACTTTTGATTGGATTTTGTTCATCAATGAATTAGCTTTAATATATGTGTAAAATAAAAATTCCCAACCTAACTGATGCTAGAAAAAGACAGACTTTTGAAAAAGAAATGCAATTTTGGGATTTAACAGGCGTTAGAAAGCTTCTGTAAAAAATGAAAGAAAAAAAGAACTAGCTTGGGCCTTGTACCGGAACATGCGTGAGGGCTATATATTAGTACTATGTAGATCTTTAAAAAATGTATGCTTCTCTCCAAAAGATTTTAAACATTGAAAAGCCATCATATACGTTATTGGTCGTTTTGGTCTTGAAATTGATTTTTCTCATCTTCGTTATGTCTTTTTGTAAAAATAGAGAATATTCTTGATCCGTGGACAAAGCAGAATCGAATGGAATATTATAGGAATATAAAAAAAGAAAACAACAATCAGTCTTGGACTCTCCATATAAAAAGCTCATAAACAATTTTGCAAGCCTATGTAGTTTTTTCTTTAAAGAGATGAAGCAGATGTTTGCACTTCATTAGAACTGCCATTGAACGAGCTTTAAAACTAGAACTTGATTTTTTTCCATTGTGCTTTGTCACTTAGGTAATTCATATTTTCTAAATCAGGGCGCAAAAATCGAAATCCTGCCCGTAATTCCCAATTTTATTCATCAGAACACAACTTCTATGCAGTAAAAATATCATATTCGGAATCAGCATCGAAAAACGAATCGAATGATGTACTTTGTTAGTCTATTCGAACACTCTGACTTTTTTTGAATTTTCACGTTAAAAATTGCTGCGATTTCACCAAAAAATGAAAATCAACAAAAAGTTTCGAAATGCACATCATGTGCGTAATTTTAAGAAGAAGCATTTGATTTCACTGACATAGACAACCCTTTAGGTCCATTCGAGTGATTTACTGCTATCGCAAAGTATTGATCCTGGAACGTCGTTGATACTTAAGTGTTTTACGGATTATGGAACTTTCGTCACACCACACTTTCGTCATTATGACGAACGCACTTTTGTCATACATGACGAAAGTTCCTTGGGGGGAGGTACTCCTCGGGAACTGTCGTCACCAAAGTGTGAATTTTCG